TATTGTGACTTGCGCCAATATGTCACCATAAAAAAATAAAAACTATATAATGCAGTAATTCTTAATGATCATGAATATATAAACACCTTTGAATGAGTGACACACCGTGATAAAATCTGTGCTCAAAACTCCACCAACCACACAGATTCACCATCAGTAAGTGCTCTATAGGAGATATGCAGAAGATAGCGTATTTAAACAAATGGAGTGCAGACATCAATCGACTCCAAAGAGTTAACTCTTCTGTCACACTTAATTCTCCTCAGGAGGCACTTTTCTGCTCTCGCAGTCAGACAACACCACAGAGTAACATGAATAAAATTGCCATATAGTGCAGTATTTATTAAGAGAACTGATAAGTAGTAGTACAGTGTAGTCACATACAACACTGGCAGTACAAGAAAAAGAGAGGAAGCGCCTCTAAGTGCAGTACTGACAAATTATTTAGTAAACAATGGATAAATTGCACTTACAAGATAAATAGTTAAAAAGACTCATCATGTGGTAATTAGATCCAGGTGGGACATCCAGCCATCCAGCAGCAAAATCTGTCTATAGGATCAGGAAGTAGAGTCGGGATTTGCCTGTGCATCAAAATGAAGCTAGGAGAGCAGAGTCAGATGTAGGAGGTGAAGGGGGCAGTAATGCATTTCAGAGCATGCTCAATAGGCTCCTTCTTCAGGCCTGAGCCTCAGTAGAACCCTGACATTTTTTATAGTGTGAAGGGAATGGGAGGGAGCAAGTAGTTCCTGGGTCCTAAGGACCTACATGTTTTCCTGCATCATACAGGAATTAATACAGGTATAAAAACAGAAATAAAAATAGAAATAAAAACACACGAGAGAATAGCTCTAATGCCTTTGGGTTAAAAAGTATACGAGTGTGTATGTATATATATAATAACATATATTTAAAAAAAATGGCATATTCGATAGAAGGGAAATAGAAAATGACAATTAAATTAAATCTAAAATAAATCTAAAAATAAATAGAATAGAACAATGGAGGTGTAAATAAATGTTAATAATAATAAATAAATCAATGAGATAATGAAAAAGGTAGATTATTGTAACATAAATAAAAAGTTTATAGAAATAAATATAAAAGCAAGATTAAAAACAAAGTTAGAAAAACGCATTTTAATAAAAACACATTTTAATAAATGGGCTTGCTATAATAGTATGTGAATTTTATGTATCTCCTTATTATCCCTTTGTAATGTACTAAAAGGGATCATAGTTAAGTGAGAGAGGGATAAGGAAGGGATATACCTAAATTTGTTGGAAGAAAGGATTACTAGTGATAAAGTACAAACAGCTGTATAGGGATATTGTGTTGATATTTATAACCACCGTTTGGAAGGAAGCGAATGTCCCTATAAAATGGAGCTTATTTCAAGCTCTTCATTTAGGCCACCAGGGAATAACACAGCCAAGGTGTAGATCCAAAAGGTTTCCCTCTGACAGAGACGCATAAAGCGTTCTGCCAGAGGGAGGTCCCATGGCATTCCTTCAATGATCCACACACTAAGACCATCAGTGGATTTATCGTGACATTCAAGTAAATGTCTGGGTACACTATGCTGATCTTTTCCATCCTCTATAAGGCAACGGTGCTTGCCAAAACGTTTACAAAGGTTCTACCCACATAGATCAGACCACATGACAAATTAGACAATAACCACGTATTTAGAAGATCATGTGTAAAATTACTTAATCTGATATGATATCCCTTTGACAGTGAACTCCTTTTGTCCATGATGAATAAACTGGCATGCCTTACATAAGGGTTTTTTTGCACTGATACATACCAACAATAGGGGAAAGGGTGAGAGGAACTGTGTTCTTTCTCTTAGTTTTAAGTTTGCTGGGTGCTATTTTTCCTTTTAAGTTGTGAGCTTTCCTGTATGAAAACTTGGGTTGTGGTAAAAGTGATTTGAAGTAAGGGTCTTGGTGCAAGATTGGCCAGTGTTTGCATATAGTATATTCCATTTGCTTATGATGACTATGGAACCGAGTGACAAATCTAATCTGTGATGGCATATTGTCAGTAGGCTGTTCTGATGTTGTAGGGCCATTGGTATAAAGTGTGTGGGCTTCTTCTACAATATCCAAAGGGTAACCCTTCTTGATAAATTTGTTTTAAGTATTGTACCTTGTGAAATGTAGTCAGATTGCTGGGTTCAGTTATGGCGCAATCGACAAAATTGGCTTTTAGGAATGTCTCTAAGCCAACGTGGGTGGTGGCAACTCATATAATGTAAAAAAAAGTTTCCGGCTGTGGGTTTGGTGTAGTTCCTGGCATGGATCTGATTGTTGCTGTGATAAATATCAAGATCAAGAAAGGATAGGTGGTCTTTGTCAACTACATGGGTAAATGCCAGGTCCATATCATGGATATTACAGTAGGATACAAAATCCTGAATGTCAGTAATGTTCCCATCCCAAATAATTAAAATATCATCAATGTAGCAACCGTAATACATGATGTGAGATAGGTATGGGTTGTTATGCCAGATATAAAGATGTTCCCAGCGGCCCTTAGTGAGATTGGCGTATGAAGGGGCAAAATTAGCTCCCATCGCTGTGCCTTGTAGCTGCAAGGCACAAGCCCCCCTGCCCCAAAGCACCCCCCCATTTTGAGGGCATGTGGCCTGGTATGGATCGGGGGGGTGCTCGCTCGTCCCCCCTTTCCTGACCTGCCGGGCTGCATGCTCGGATAAGGGTCTGGTATGGAATTTTGGGGGGAACCCCACGCTGTTTTTTTTTTTAATTTCGGCGTGGAGTTACCCCTTGTCAGGGCTCCCGGGTATGACCAGAGGTGTGTGACTGACGCAGGGAAACGCAGACTTCAGATAAGTTATAAACAATTTATTAACACTAACAATACAAACATAAACGCAGTGCAATACTAAAACATAACACAGTGCAAACGAACCAAACCAAACCACCCACAGATAACAGTACATACAGTGCAAGCGTCGTCAGGCAGGCCGGGTCAATATCAATCGGGCAGGTAGGTACAGGGGGAGCAACCGGAGAATAGTCAGGTCACGAGCAGGGTACAGCAACTAACAGGCAGGTAGGTACAGGGGGTCAGGCAGAGAATGGTCGGGGTCACAAGCCAGGGATCAGAACAGGAGAAGTCAGCAGAGGTCAGAATCAAGCCGGGTCAGCAACAAGACAGGAACAGGATGCAGGAACAAGATACAGGGCCCAGGAAAAACACAACACCAAGGCAGAGCCTGCAGGTCTGAATGTCCCTTAAATACACCAGTATAATTAGTTCCAGGTGTTTGACTGGCTGCAAGGTTGAGTCTCTGATTGCTGGGAGCACCCGCTGGCCAGCCCTGGTACTGCAGCTCATAAGGCAGATGAGTCCCACTATTGCTGGCCAGTCCATTCCTGACAGTACCCCCCCCCTCAAGGAGCGGCCTCAGGACGCTCCAAACAGTCCTAGCTGGGCAAAAAGTTCCACCGCCCGGGTCTGGTAACTGGCGGGATATCAAAGACTGGCACACCGGGCAGGACTCCGGGCAGCGGCACACCGGGCAGGGGCACACCGGGCAGAGGCACACCGGGCAGAGGCACACCAGGCAGAGGCACATCGGGCACATCGGGCTGGACTCCGGGCAGAGGCACATCGGGCTGGACTCCGGGCAGAGGCACATCGGACTGGACTCCGGGCAGAGGCACATCGGGCTGGACTCCGGGCAGAGGCACATCGGGCTGGACTCCGGGCAGAGGCACATCGGGCTGGACTCCGGGCAGAGGCACATCGGGCTGGACTCCGGGCAGAGGCACATCGGCTGGACTCCGGGCAGAGGCACATCGGGCTGGACTCCGGGCAGAGGCACTCTGGGCAGTGGCACACCGGGCAGAGGCACATCGGGCTGGACTCCGGGCAGAGGCACATCGGGCTGGTCTCCGGGCAGAGGCACATCGGGCTGGACTCCGGGCAGAGGCACATCGGGCTGGACTCCGGGCAGAGGCACATCGGGCTGGACTCCGGGCAGAGGCACATCGGGCTGGACTCCGGGCAGAGGCACATCGGGCTGGACTCCGGGCAGAGGCACTCTGGGCAGCGGCACACCGGGCAGAGGCACATCGGGCTGGACTCCGGGCAGAGGCACATCGGGCTGGACTCCGGGCAGAGGCACATCGGGCTGGACTCCGGGCAGAGGCACATCGGGCTGGACTCCGGGCAGAGGCACATCGGGCTGGACTCCGGGCAGAGGCACATCGGGCTGGACTCCGGGCAGAGGCACATCGGGCTGGACTCCGGGCAGAGGCACATCGGGCTAGACTCCGGGCAGAGGCACATCGGGCTGGACTCCGGGCAGAGGCACATCGGGCTGGACTCCGGGCAGAGGCACTCTGGGCAGCGGCACACCGGGCAGAGGCACATCGGGCAGCGGCACACCGGGCAGAGGCACATCGGGCTGTACTCCGGGCAGAGGCACATCGGGCTGGTCTCCGGGCAGAGGCACATCTGGCTGGACTCCGGGCAGAGGCACATCGGGCTGGACTCCGGGCAGAGGCACATCGGGAGATTACCAGGTGAAGCAGCAGGCATCGGGCCCCCAGGCGGGGCGACAGGCATCGGGCCCCCAAGCGGAGCGGCGGGCGCCGGGCCCCCAGGAGGGGCAACAGGCATCGGGCCCCCAGGTGGGGCGACAGGCATCGGGCCCCCAGGTGGGGCGACAGGCATCGGGCCCCCAGGCAGGGCGACAGGCATCGGGCCCCCAGGCAGGCGGAGCGGCGGGCGCCGGGCCCCCAGGCGGAGCGGCGGGCACCGGACCCCCAGGCGGAGCGACAGGTCTCGGGCCCCCAGGCGGAGCGACAGGTCTCAGGCTCCCAGGCGGAGCGACAGGTCTCAGGCCCCCAGGCGGAGCGACAGGTCTCAGGCCCCCAGGCGGAGCGGCGGGCGCCGGACCCCCAGGCGGAGCGGCGGGCGCTCCGCCTGGGGGTCCGGCGCCCGCCGCTCCAGGCGGAGCGACAGGTCTCAGGCCCCCAGGCGGAGCGGTGGGCACCGAGTCACCAGGCACGACAGTGGGCACCGAGTCGTCTGGCAAGACTGCGGGCACCGAGTCGTCTGGCAAGACTGCGGGCACCAAGTCAACTGGCGGAACAGTGGGCATCGAGTCAACTGGTGGAACTGCGGACACCGAGTCGTCTGGCAAGACTGCGGGCACCGAGTCGTCTGGCAAGACTGCGGGCACCGAGTCGTCTGGCAAGACTGCGGGCACCGAGTCAACTGGCGGGACAGCGGGCACCGAGTCGTCTGGCAAGACTGCGGGCACCGAGTCGTCTGGCAAGACTGCGGGCACCGAGTCGTCTGGCGGAACAGCGGGCATCGAGTCAACTGGCGGAACAGCCGGCACCGAGTCGTCTGGCAAGACTGCGGGCACCGAGTCGTCTGGCAAGACTGCGGGCACCGAGTCGTCTGGCAAGACTGCGGGCACCGAGTCGTCTGGCAAGACTGCGGGCACCGAGTCGTCTGGCATTGGATCGTCTGGCTCGACAGCGGGCATCGGGTCACCAGGTATGACAGCGGGCACTGGGTCACCAGGCATCAGGTCATGTGGCTCGCCAGCGGGCACCGCGTCATCTGGCAAGGCAGTGAGCACTGAGTCACCAGGTACGACAGCGGGCTCTGAGTCAATTCGCACGACAGCGGGCACCGGATCAGGTACCGGATCATCTGGATCAACAGCGGGCATCGAGTCAACTGGCCTAATAGGATCATCAGGCTGGATCAGTTCATTATGCTGGGTAGAAGCATCAGGCTGAGTAGAGGCTTCAGGCTGAGTAGAGGCTTCAGGCTGAGTGGAGGCTTCAGGCTGAGTGGAGGCTTCAGGCTGAGTGGAGGCATCAGGCTGAAGAGAGGCATCAGGCTGAGTAGAGGCATCCGGCTGAGTAGAGGCATCCGGCTGAGTAGAGGCTTCAGGCTGAGTAGAGGCTTCAGGCTGAGTAGAGGCTTCAGGCTGAGTAGAGGCTTCAGGCTGAGAGAGGCATCAGGCTGAGTAGAGGCATCAGGCTGAGTAGAGGCATCCGGCTGAGTAGAGGCATCCGGCTGAGTAGAGGCTTCAGGCTGAGTAGGAGGCTTCAGGCTGAGTAGAGGCATCAGGCTGAAGAGAGGCATCAGGCTGAACCACGGAAGGCAGGTTCTCAGACGGTAGGCTCACCGGTTTGGACACTGGCAGGATGGTACTGGTTGGAAAGAATTTTCGCTTTTTTCTGGTTTTAACTACTGGGGCACTGCAAGTAAACGCAGGTCTGCAAATGAATGGAGCAGCTGGAGACAGAGAAGAGCTGGAGGATGGAACAGGGGAAGGAACAGTCGCTACAGAGGGCTTCTTTACAGGGTTAAAGGCAGGATAGGTGCAGCGAGTGGGAACAGGGTACTGACATGCGGTAGATAGCCAAGTATACTGGGCTGTAACTGGAGGAGCTGTTGGGAATACAGGAGTAGAGCTTTGAGGAGATAGATTAGAAGCAGGACTGGGTCTTTGTAAGCTGACTGAGGCTGGGTGTAACAAATCTGTCCATGTCTGCAGTATGGGTTGAACAAAGCTGAGCTTACACAAAGCCTGTCTGACCAAAGACTGCACTGCGTTTATACAATCTCTTAGTACCTGTGGTGAACATGTGGAATAACGCTCCAGAAAGTAACCCACATCATCCTCTAATAACCATACCAGGGACTCTACCTGGTCTGCACTAAATGGTGGCAAAAATTCATCCCTGCATTCGGGGGTACCAGATGAAACCAACTCAGCACAAACCTCAATCAATGGCTGCACCTCAGAGAACTCTGTGCCCTGATCTACTAGAACATGAGCGAGCCGTATACATTCTAGCAGTTCATCCCGGGTATACTCCTTCAGAGTTTGATAAGCATACTCCCTGTCATCAAACACTAGCAGATATAAATACGCAACCTCATCCAGATCCATCCCTCCCATCAACAAACCAAGATGGCTTCCCTGTGCAGCCACTTCTGGTCAGGATTGGCCTTGGTGTAATGTCAGGGCTCCCGGGTATGACCAGAGGTGTGTGACTGACGCAGGGAAACGCAGACTTCAGATAAAGTTATAAACAATTTATTAACACTAACAATACAAACATAAACGCAGTGCAATACTAAAACATAACACAGTGCAAACGAACCAAACCAAACCACCCACAGATAACAGTACATACAGTGCAAGCGTCGTCAGGCAGGCCGGGTCAATATCCCCCTGTACTGTAGGTACAGGGGGAGCAACCGGAGAATATCAGGTCACGAGCAGGATACAGCAACTAACAGGCAGGTAGGTACAGGGGGTCAGGCAGAGAATGGTCGGGGTCACAAGCCAGGGATCAGAACAGGAGAAGTCAGCAGAGGTCAGAATCAAGCCGGGTCAGCAACAAGACAGGAACAGGAACAGAATGCAGGAACAAGATACAGGGCCCAGGAAAAACACAACACCAAGGCAGAGTCTGCAGGTCTGAATGTCCCTTAAATACACCAGTATAATTAGTTCCAGGTGTTTGACTGGCTGCAAGGTTGAGTCTCTGATTTCTGGGAGCACCCGCTTGCCAGCCCTGGTACTGCAGCTCATAAGGCAGATGAGTCCCACTATTGCTGGCCAGTCCATTCCTGACACCCCTTAATATCCATACCAGACCCGAATGGCTTGGTATGGATGGGAGGGAGGACCCCACGCTGTTTTTTTTTTATTATGGGCTGGTTTTTAAATGTAATTCTGGCTTTTTTGGTCTTCACTATAGCTCAGAAATTCAGCTGTCACTTCCCCCGGCTCAAAGAGAAAGTTTTGTTTGAGTTTATTTTCTTAAAGGTAACAAGGTTGACTTTTAGTTAATTAAAATGAAGAAATGTTTCTGTAACTTTGGGGAAAGTGACAGCTAAGCTTGTGAACTATAGTGAAGGACAAAAAAAGGCACGCCATTAGCATTGAAAAATCAGCACCGACATACACTTCGTATTGTGAACCAAATTATTCGAACATTTGTAAACCGACCAATTAATTTTAATGGTTTGGCATTTGTACACCAAATATGACGTTCCCCGAGGCATTGGTAAACCAAGGTACGCATGTATTAGTATTGCAATCCTTTGTATTGGGATACATAGAACCAACATACATCGGAATTGGCAACATAGCACAACATTTGTGTCACATTGGAGATATCTGGCTAGTTACACTGACCTTGCCCAGGGACTTAGGGTTGATTCACAACACAGAAATACAGGGTGGCTTAGTATTGCAGCTCTGTGGATTAGTGGTTAGCACTGCTGCCTCACAGCTCTAGGGTTGTTGGTTTGAATCCCAACGATGGCAAGAAAGTAGCATGATCTCCCTGTGTGGGTGTCTTCAAATAGCTGTTCTGGCAGCATCTTTGCTTTCTGTCTAAATGATCCCTAGAATGTGAATTAGAATGAGGCCTTGTCTGTTGAAACACCTTTAAAGCTGCACCTAATGTGAATGTCATACAATGGGATGAGATAAGGGCCTGGGCTACTAATAGATTTGATAATGCTGGTTTACACTCCACCCCCTTTTGTGAAGGATTTGTCAAGCAAAGAGAGCTGAGAGAGAGAAGAGTGAGCAAGAGATACATACTGAAGAGTGATAAAGAGAGGCATACAGAAGAGTGAGAGATAAATACTGAAGAGTGATAAAGAGAGACATACAGAAGAGTGAGCGAAAGATACATACTGAAGAGTGATAAAGAGAGACATACAGAAGAGTGAGAGAGAGAGAAAAGGCTTGGGTGGGGAATCCACACATCAAAATTGTTACAAATATTGGTGTGGATTTTTCCCCCAAATGCATAGCAGACCCTTATCCGAGCAGGCAGGTACCGCATGCCTTCAAAGATTTATTTCCTTTGTTGATTTACCTGTTTCGTTCACACTATATGCAATTGAAAATTACGCTTTAAGTTGCCAATTTCACCATGTTTTCTAGAGATTTTCAAACTAGTCGTGATTTCAATTGTGTTTAGCATTGTAATTTCTATTGGAGTCTAGATGTGAAATTGCTACTAAATGGCCCAAATTTCCTTTGAAATCGTAAGTTCAGCAAACAAATTGCGTATGTTAATACACTCATATTCACATTCATTATATCCGATATCAAGTACGATGTCAATTCACAAATCGCACCTGAAATTGTACACCCTGGATGCGAGTTGTCATGCGATTGGCATGGCCAGCAACTTGCCATTTGCATGGCATATTGCACACAATGTTACTGGGGGCTAATAACTCTGTCACATCTAATCTGATGTGGCAATTGCCCAACTTACAGTGAAGTTGCACGAGTTCACAATCCAATTGGATGTGAACAGAGCCTACAGTGGACAATAGGGTGCGACTTGGTCTATGATTTGCAAGTCGCCTGTTATGCCAATTGAATGCCAAATCGCAAACAATGTTACTGGGGGCCACCCGGTCACATTAAAGCAGATTTCTAAGTGGTGTTATTTACACTACAGTCACATCATGTGACTTACAGTGAAGTCACATGATTTCAAAGTGGGGGGAGATGCTGATTTAAAGTGCGATTTGCAAGACATCTTACACAGATCTCTCTGCAAAACACATGAAAAGTAGTGTATTCATTACTTTAGAAATTGTTGCGGCTCCAACCAAGTTTGAACCACACCAATATGAACGATGAATAGCGGTCACATTGAGTGCGACTTGGCATGTGATTTGCATGACATGCGACTTGCAAATCATATGCCAAGTCACACTCTATTGTCTGCTATTAGAGACAGTCACATGGGTGCGTTTCCGACACTGATTTCTAAAGTAGTACATGTACTACTTTTGTGTCGATTTGCATAGATATCTGTGTCAAATGTCTTAAAATTGCAAGGACATCGGCAACTTCACTGTACGTCGCACAATTTCTAAATCGGCTTTGATGTGACCGGGGGTGTAAGGCCTTTTTATGTTTGATTTCCTGAGTGTTTTCCAATTTATGGGAAATCCCACATACTAGCAAAAGTGAATTGACATTTTCAGTATTGCATGCGAGATGTGGTCATGTGACTGCCTTAACTTATGTAATAATTTGGAGTGAATTGTGCCCATAGGGCCAAGAAATATTGCCAATAGGGTTCCCTTTTACATCCCTGTTCAATGTTCTGTTGTATGCTGCACAGGTACACTTCACTGTGGTTTTCTTTCTGACTCTGATTTGTGGGGCCTGTATACCAAGGGTTAACGCAGGTGGGAAGAGAATTAATCAGGTGCAAACACTTTCTCTGACCAAATGAATGACAGTGGTGTGTGTGGCCTACCTTATATAAAGAGATGCAGTAGTGGCTGATTTTTGCCTTGTACAGGCACATTATTTCTGCAAGTCCTTGTCTGTGGTGGTTTGGGGGAGGAAGAGATATTGTGGTGAATTGCCCCAGGCCGCACTCACACTGTGTTTTGATGTGGGCTGTAAATGTTTTGCATGTTCTTCCTTCTAAGGTGTGTTTGTGTGTTATTGTACAATGATTGTGTGTTTATTATCTTTGCATTGTAATCCTAACACATGCAAATTGCTCTGCTCTTCCAAGTTTGCTTTATTTAGACTGAAATGCAGTTTTCAGACAAACTTGGTGAGAAATGTATGTGTGGGGGATTTGGGGAGGTGGGAGGTGTTATTTTGGCACGTATGTATTTTTATATTGATATTTTGATCTGCAGCTTGTTTTGTGGATAGATA